TTTGTACGACGATGACGGTGAGAATTTACAGGGATATATTTTGGAGTTCCATTTGATTCGATTTGCATACCATGTGGGAGGCGATCGTCCACAACCAGAAACCTACTCAGTGTTCGTACCAGTGCAATAGTAATGATGAAGCAGAGCGTCGCATAGCGATTCGTCGTGGACTGGTCGGTGGGAAATGGGCTGGTATAGACGTGTACAGCACCAACGAACAGAACCTGGTGCTTCTAGGAATTGAAGTTGGGAAGTTGCTGACGACCGTTACTAATCAGGACAGGTCCTGTTTTGAAGGCCGCATTGGATTCGAAGGCGCGTTGGAACCACCAAAATCTATTGCTGTCGGTGATATACTGAAATTTCAAACTCCGGAATATCTATTGACAGAGCACTACCACACCTTATTGAGAGGAACTGGCTTACAGAACGAGAAGCGTACCAGTTACTCGTGCTCGGGCTTTGACGACGAGAGGAATGCGAAAAAGAGCCTCAGAGAATTTTGGAGAAAAGAGCGACCATAACGGAAGAGCGGAGAATGCGAGATGTGTCACTATCGCAGAACGTGCCATTCTGTTGTAGCTAAAGAGTTGCGTAGGTGCGCCAGTGCGGCTAGATCTGAGAACGTTACTGTCACGAGGGCGTATTCATGCGGCCAGACCAACCTCACATTTTTCAACCCGACAACTTGCCCACCTGAAAGGCGTTGAGGAAGGCAGCCCAACCTTCACGTGCTCTAATTGGCCCAGAAGTTCAAAAAGGGTTTTTAGTTGCTGCGCGCCACCCGCCCAGAAAAAGCCGCTTTGGTGGGTGCACCGAGTTCCCGAACGTGCATTTCTGTGCGCTTGGATGAGATTGGACCTACATGGTCGGAAGTGTGCCTTCGGCAGTTGTTGACAGAGCCATTGGCGTGGTGCCTCCCTATTTAGGGTTTCCGGCCGCGTCCCGCCGGTCGCCTTGGATAGCAGGACCTGGGGGAGTATCAACGACTCCCGAACTCAGCCTTTGACGCCCATGTTGGGCTAAGGCTGCGAAGGTTCTATTGACCAGGGAACTTGCGGTCACTTCTGGGCCTGCTCCCGTTCCATAGACGATTCATTCCCCAGTACGTGGACGCTGTGAGGTTGCTTCTAGAGTTAATGGACATACGAAGACGAACATACAGAGGACGAACGGGTTCGGTTGGCGAGCGGGACACGAAGACTCGTTGGGTGAAACGGTCGCGACGCTGGTGGAGGCAGACCACCTCCAGGCAACGAACCCTGACGCGCAACAGGTGCTGAACCCGGGTGCCAGCGGAATACTATACCGTGTCAGGCTTCCAGCTTTCGTACTCAACGGTGACCCAGGGGTCGTTGAGTACGGCAGCTAACTGGAGAGAGAGAGAGAGAGCTCGTGGACCGTAAGTAGCTCGTAACCAAATGTGAGGCAAAAATCTAGCTTAATTCTAGCAGATAACCGGAACCTGACGTTTCTAGCCACCGCTGATATAGGGAAAGTGGGTCTCGTTTTGCAGCAGAGTAGCGCTCGGCCGCCAAGCTAGACATAGTCGGCATAAGGGAATTGAACCACCAAGCTAAACCATCGTGTCCAGGAACACAAGACCGACACAGCGAGAAGAACGTCCGTGCACAGTATTGCAGCGCCGTTGGTCGGTCACAATTCAGTTCAGACTCGTCGGTCGTTTCATCTCAGATGAAGACGTTTTCGAGTGTGCCGCGTGGTTGCAGTCGTCTTGGGCCTAACGGGTCCGTTCCACCTTTGCGCGGTTGTGTGGCGAGAATGGTCAGAGAGCAAGAACGTACCGCAATTTCTCGGAGTTTGGGGGGAGAGGGTTTTTGACCTCGCAGAAGATTATGACTGGGTGGGACCGGCCGGGTGCGAGTTTAGTGGCACCCGGACCAGTCCCGCCAAAGCTTCGATGCCTGGAGCGCATTCTTCTTGCGCTTCGAAAGGACGCGCCCGGCCAGCAACGAACAGAAAAAGCACAGAGGTGAGGAAAAGGATTCAAATTTGGAGCAGTCTACAGGTGGTGGATGCCACGATCACGACACTGATGAAGGAGGCTGGGTGGAAGCAGCTCGCTTGGTAATGCCCCTCTGGTCACCACTCGGTCGGGCAAGGCCGCCAGTCAATGGGTCACTGGCACACACGAACTTTCAAATACTCGGAAGCATACCGGCATGCGATACCTGCCGCGATCGATGGTCATTCAATCTTTTGGTTCGCAATCAGGTTCGAAGTTGGACCGCCATGGCATCGGCTCAACCACAGTTCCGGGTTAAACTTTTGCGGTTTTATTTTCGACGTTGCATAAAATGAAGGGGGTGCCTTGCTTACGGTTCGGTGGAGTGAGTGGAGGTGTAGTGCTGACCGCGATGTTGGGTCCTAGCTGCACGGTCGTCCGACGATTCGAAGAAACGGCTGATGTAGATGACCAAGTCAGAGCTTTAAAATCGGACCTCGATGAAGAGGAGGCGGCCGGGGCAGAACAGTGGGCTACTCTCGAGGCTGAGACACCACCGATCCAGCGACCCACAAACTTTCTTTGGCTAAGGCCGTGGTTTCTATTGGCTACCGGAGTTGCAGGCGGAGCAGCTGTGGGCGGGTTGCTGTATCCGTTGTGGCCCATAGTCTGTTGGGGCACGGAAGGTACATCGCCGGTCTGTAGTAACGTAACGGCATCCACGGAGGCCGCGGAGGCCACGGGGGGCACGTCGTCGTTATTTAGCTATACCACGGCCGCTTCGGAGACCAACGCTGGCGCCCCAGCCTTTGTCCCGACTGAAGGTTACGATTGTCAAGTCGTATCCCCGTCCGACGTTTTCACGAGATGCAAACCCCACGGATTGATTTCTGCGTTTGATTTGGCCACGATGCGATTGCCGTCTGAGTTTTGCAAGAAGGTGTACAAAGCTGACAAGATGACGGAACCGATGAGGAAGGCAACAATGGATGGTTGGAAGGAGCTGAATTGGTCCCGTTGTGCATCTAACGGTGGCAGGATACTTTGTACGGACGATAACGGT